CCCTTTTGGCCAAAACATCCCAAAATTTTCTGGCTTCCTGGGTTTTAAAAAAAAAAAAAAAAAAAAAAAAAAACAAACAAAAAACTTTGCAACAATAAGCCACATGGTGGCAGGTTTTTGAATTCTACCAGATGTAACTGAAAGTTAAAATCCATCAAGTCTCCACTTAGCATTGTGTGCCGTACCTCTTGTGATGTCATCAACCAAAACACAAGAGGGAATTAACCATTTTTTCCTTTGCTTTTTAAAAACTTAGTCTCTTTTTGCCTCTGTTTTTTATTATAATTCTATATTTGTTCATAAGAAGAAAACCCTTCTCTAGTTATGTTTTTAAAAATAAACACGCTTAGACGCACACAATTAAAGGTGAGCCCCGTCCTCAGATACCTAACAGAAGTCCCTAACTCTGCATATTTGCTGTGTGTCCTCAGGCCCAACACCGAGATGAGTTTGTCCAAGACCGCTATGGGCAGTATGACCTCAGCGATCCATTCCTGGCCCTGCAGCGCGACGAAGAAGCCGCAGAGCGCCAGACCGCAATCAGGCAACCCCAAGCACATCCGCATGGCCGGGCGGTGGGCCCAAACCCTCTGGCTGTGCTGAAACTGGTCATGACTCACTGTAAGAGGATGCAGGAGAGGATGATGGGACAGTTGGCTGCTGCCGAGAGCAGGCACAGGAGGGTAAATAGCAAACGATGCCCATATGCAGTCAGTAGTTCGTGTTTCAGGTCTGCGATTTGAGGTTGCAACGCGGCCAAAGTCACATAAGGCGGGAAATTTGGTCACTGAATTTGTTGTGTGAATATGTATCTAGTAGTGAGCTCCATGGCTTAGGGGAGGGTTTGTCTTTATTTCTACTGCAAATTTGATCTTTGTTGGAGTTACATAAATGTATAGATGGACTAAATCAGCTTGTTTTGTTTACACTTGATTATTGCTCCCTGACTTTACCTGTAAATAACTTAACGAGAACTACATTGCTTTCACGCGCTTCACTAAACCTGTCTACACATTAGCTCCTAATGTTATCACTTGTCTGTGTCATTGTTCAAGATGATCACCGCTCTGGAGGAGGAGAAACAGCGGTGTGTCCAGGAATCTGCTCGGCGTGCCGACTATGTCTTTGTTCTCGAGACAGAAAGAGATAAGCTTCTGCAACAGGTGTGTGTGTGTGTGTGTGTGTGTGTGTGTGTGTGTGACACGTCAAGCTCCCAGAAAACTGTTACTATGTGAGTGCCTTGTACTGTAAAAACATCTTATGTTTCTTGAACACTTTCAGGTTTTGTCACATTGAATCTACAATATGAAATGTTTTTATTTTTTATATATTTTTTTTCAGCTGGTTAGCAACTTCAGCCTTCAATTCTGGAGCCACAAATGGCTCTTTGGGTCTTTTGCAGCTTCCGTGAAAAGGCTAAAAGTAATAAATAGACAACCAATGTGTTTAAACTGAATATAATAACAAATGCAGGTTTTAAAAGCTTTTGTAAAAGTGAATTTTCACAACAGATCGACAATTTAGATTTATTTTTCTTGTGATTTAGTTGAAAACTTTGTGCCATTTTACATCAGTTTGAAAGAAAGAAAAAAATGAAAGAAAACGGACCCAATCTCTTTTTTGCACAAGTTTTTTGTTGTTGTTGTTGATAACAAATTCATAGTAGACATTTTATCACAAATCTTAAGTTATTGTTTTTCAAAGGCCATGCATGGCTCTAGATGAGGTTTATTTGGATGGACTGAGGGCAAAAATGGCTGCTTTGATTGTAATTGTGGTAGATCCCTGGATTTTCTCCTAAAGCCCCAATAAAATTCTTTGAAGTTTGCGGCACAGTAATGTGACAAAATATGAAAAAGCTCAAGGGGTGTGAGCACTTGTGTAATACGCTGCAGATGGGAACATCTGTTGAAGATAATTCTGTTTCTGTCTCACGTGACCGTCCTCACCGCATGCTTTTTCTTTAAAAAAATAGTCTTGCTGCGATCAAAAACAAAATGAGCAGAGATGCGTCAGAGGTAGCTCCTCTGTGTAACCCAGAAGGGTGGAGAGGGCTTGGCCTTTATGAAATTTACACACGCACAGAGGCGCTCTTACTGTATGCACAAGCCTCATAACTGTTCCATGGGAAACAGATGAGGAAGAGGCCATTGTTCAGTTGTCCAGCAGCCATGGGGCTTTATGGCCTCAGGAAACCTGAGATAATGGATGTTCACGTCGAATGCAAGGTCAGCTGGCAAACACACGCTGTGAGCGCACAATTACACAGGGGCCTTATGTAACACAGGGTCCCCTCAGTGACTTCTTTAGGCTCTCCTGCCTTTTCCTTTCAAACACATGGCTGTATTTCATCACCTCCTATTTCCTTTTAATACTCAACAAAGGTTAGAACCAGCCCATTCACCCTCTGATGACCGAAAAGCAACTGGACTGTCCATAAACATGCCATGCAAGCAGATAATTCTTTTACAAGGTGAAACATGAACAATGACCTCCTTTCTGTGCCTCTTCGGACACTTTGATGACACATATCTCATGTTTTTTTTTTTTTTTTTTAATCCTACCTCTTTATGATTCAGGCGTGGTTTGCTTAGGAGAAGCATATCTAAAGAGGTCCAGGAAAGATTAGATAGAAGTAGGTCTCGCATTCCCACCAGAAATGTAAAACTTTGTAAATGTAAAATTGTGGGTCCCATTTAGATTATGTGTTTAGTTTAGTAAAGTAAATTAAACTTTCTAATAATTTAATGTTACATAAATGACTAACAGTAAGAATACTAAATACAGCGATAAAAGTATTTTACAGCATGCATAGTATGGATAGAATTAAAGATCATTTTGATTTTAAAATGTTTTGTGCAAAAAATAGGATAAAAAAAATAAAAAAGCTTTTGTGTTGTCAAACAAGCAGCACAGTGTTGCCTCCTTGTGGCCAAAAGTGGAAGACACGCTCGCCTTCACATTTCTGTTTCTCTTCTCTAAGCTGGAGGTGGAGCATGCAACGGTGCAGAGGTTGGAGAAGGAACAGGCACAAGTGGTGAGCAAGGTGGAGGAGTCGCTGACCCAGGAGCAGCAGCTCTCCTCCAGTCTGACGCTGGAGCTCCAGAAGGCCAGCAGCCAAGCTCAAGAGGAGGCGCAGAAGGTCTCTCAGCTCCACATGCTGCTGCAGGAAGAGACCTGCGCCCTCGAGAAGCTCCAGCAAGTTCTTGAGTACGAGAAGAACAGGGTGGCTCAGCTGGAGGTCAAGTCGGAGAGGCAGACGGCTGAGTTTGATGCCGAAAGAGAGCAGCTGAAAGCCAGACTAGAGGCAGAGGAGGAAAAGGGCAGAGAGCTTGAAAAACAAGTGAAAGAACTTAGAAAAAGGTTGGCTGAGCCTCAGGAAAGTAAATATGAGGTAAAAGAGGCTGCGGCCGAGGTGAAGGAGTCACAGGGCAAGATGGTGTCCAGTTCTGTTCAGACTGAGACGGATGGAAAGATTACTCCAAAATCCTCTACCGTACCAAAGGTCAATGGCCTTCAGTCTCATAAAGAGACAGAACCATTAACACATGAAGTGAAAGGAGCAGAAAACGGAGTGGATAATGGAGGTGGAACCCTTCTCCATTCCCCTATTCACCCCTTTCCTCATCCTCACTCTCCCTCCAGCACGGCCTCCTCTTCCCTCTCCTCCTCCCCCGTTTCCTCTCCAGTTCTAGCGAAGCGTCTGGGCAGCCCGGGCTTCCTTCAGTCCTACCAGGCTGGAGTCAATCAGAGATTTCAGGCCGCCAGACACAAGTTCCAGAGTCAGGCCGAGCTCGATCAGCAGCAGCACGGTGGGCCTCTTTCCCCCAGGGACCTCTCTCCAACCACCGCATCCACCCCTCCTCCGCCAGAGCACAGCCCGGCTAAGCAGCTGGCCCGCAGCACAGTCACTCAGGTGCTGTCCCGCTTCACCAGCCAGCAGGCCGGAGTGAAGTCCGCGCCAATTAACAACTCACCATTTGGCACAGACTACCGCAATCTGGCCGCATCTCCTACGGGGGGGAGGTCGCCTTCTTCAGGGCCATTATCTCCGTGCTTTCGCTCTCCTCTCACTCCTCGTTCAGAGAAGACCCATCCTCCTCCAATTCCACCTAAAAGGCCCGGCATGAGTCCAACTCCGGGTTCCCCAAATCACTCTCCTCGGACCAGCCTCTTCCCAGAGCTTACGGGGAACTGTGGGCACAGCAGCAGTGGGCAGGAGGGAGCCAAGGAATCAGACCTGGTCTTATCCTAGTGCCTAACATTCCAGACCGTGCAAGCTAATTGTTGAAGAAATCAGCTACTTCAGTTTCTGATGTTAACTAAGTTTAAGACATTGAATATTGGCATTGGAAATTAAAACACCTTGTAAAAAAAAATTTCATACCCTTTAAACTTTTTTCACATTATAGCTTCAACCATCAATGTGTTGTAGGTTGTAGCCATAACGCGAGATAGGCTAGTGCAAAGTAGCATTTGTTTGCTGATCCTCTGAGTAAATAGTTTTCACAGCCACCATTTTCTGACATGTCTGCTGCGTTCCTTGGTCTTGGTGATGCGGTTTGTTCGGTAATATTCTATAACAAACATCTGGGACTAATTTATTACCCAGAGGAATTCAGTTTACTAATCAGCAGAATTAAGGCACTAAATTTTATGTAGCGGTATCGCAGTAAAAGGGGGTGAATGCATTACACATTTTTATATTTTCTTTGTAAAAACTAAAGTGTGAACCATGTGGTGTTATGTCTGCTAAACTTTGCATTGGTCTATCACTTGAAATATAAATGCAATACATAAAGGTTTGTGGTTATAAAGTGGAAAACATGAAAAAGTTTGAAGTATGAATGCATTTTCAAAGTGGTGTATACTGGATGCATTGTTTGTTCCTACCTCAAAAGCACAACATGAGAAACAATTGGTAAAAATGATTTAAAAGAGATTACAAATTCCTTTATTGAAGTTAGTTTTTATGTTTTACATCATTATGAAGTTACACTAAATGTCAAATTTCTGAATTTTAACTATGAGTTTGAGCATCAACCATCAGTAAAAACCAAGCTTAAATTCTGACAAATCAAACGGACTGGAGTTGTGCTGAGCTAGTGATTTGTTTGTTTTCACATATGGATTTACTCGTCAAACCTTTGCAACTCAAACGAAGAGTTTGTCCAGAAGCGAACCCAAAATAAAGAGGGTTTCTCAAGTGTACGGCTAGTAGAGCATAGCAAGCATGTAGCTATTACAATTTTACAAAGACAAAAAAAGGTTTTTAAATGCTTTTATTGTGAGTCCCTATGCAATTTTTTATGGAGATGGACCACGTTTTTTTTTTTGTTTTTTTTTTTTTTTTATTGTAAATATGTCAAGAAATCTTTTCCTATGAATGAACATGTGATGCATGTGTTTGTTTTTACTTGTCATGAAAACACTGAGACTTGTCTTGAAAAAGGGAGAGCACATTTTGCACTGCATCGACTACACATCAGCACAATTTTTATGAACACAGCATATCCAGGGAATGTTGAATTCTGCTCTACACAAGCTGAAAATGTTGCTTCATTATGCCACGCAGTAAATATTTTAGATGTTCATACTTTGATACACAATTGCGACAATTTATACTGTATATGTATGTGTCAATTTTATATAGAACTGTGTCTTGTAGACGAACTACACACGAGATTATTTTATTTTTGTTGGTCTACCACTTTATTTTTTAACATTTTTTTTTTTATTTTGAAAGCAGTAATCGACTTCATCACATTAGATTTGCCAATTTATTTAAAGTCATATATGTACAACCTGTCTGGGGTTCTGTTCTTTTATCACTAGTAAATGCTCATATCATTAACACGCTAAGTATTCAGTGCTTTAAATAAATTGTCCATTCCTTCAAGTGATGAATCATCTGTCTTTCTTACAGTCTGAGCTAACAAAACAACAGCAGTATATTTGGAGCTCCTGATGGGAACACTATGCCGTTTCACCTATAGAACAGCGTGTGATGGTCAGATTTTCTATTTGATTTGTTTTAAGTTGCTTTTTAACAGAGATAAAATCTACTTTGGGCAAACTTCTATGGGCATGAGCCTCTGATGACATCACATAAGGGTGATCAGCAACTGAAAATTTGGCTACAACAAAACACATGGAAGCAACTCATGAAGATGACCACTACAGAGTGGAAGTGCCAGATTTCATTATTAAATGTGATGTTATGAATATTTAACCGTTTATTCAGGTTCTGCTCACACATGCAAAATATGATAAGCTGGAACAAATATTTGTCCGTTGTTTAGGGCTTTTTCTCGCATAGTTTTTCTTTAGTTCAAATCAGTTGAGTTTGCCAACTCTCAAGTTTTTTGATTGTTCAGTTGACTCCGAGCACCAAAAGGCGAGAAATTAATATCTTCAGCGTGTAAAGTTTTTACAGGTCTTTGCAAAGTGAGAAGAAAGCTGCTTTCATACTAGCAAAGGCTCTCTTGGAACTAAACTCTGGTTTGTTTGTTTTTTCAGAGTTGTGTATTCATTTTCCTTTTCAGATTTCAGCTCATTTCACCAGTGGTACAAATGCACCGAAACCAATCGGATGGAAAAATGACGACTGTTGACAATCATTCTCACTGTTTCCTTCAGCCTTTCCGTTCTTGGTAGCATCCGTTATGGTCGTGAAACTCCGCCTCAGTCACAAGGCTGAACCAGTTTTAACTCCGTCACATTGCTCTACAACCAGCATCTACAGAGGCTTTTGCCCTCGTTTCTGCTGTGATGCCAACAACCCAAAAACACAGAAATGAGGATTAGCCGTTTATAAAACTATTTTTTTTTATGTGTTTATTATTTTTGGTAATAAACAATTTATTACCAATTGTGTTTATATCGGTGTACATTTATCAAGGAAAGAAGTAAATAATTGGATTGTAAGTCAGTTTATTTGAACAGGGTGGGGCAGTATAGTCTTTAACTTTGTAACTGATCGGCACACAGTTGTATTATACTGTATATTGACGTTTGAACACAGCACATAGCATAGCTAACAAGTAACTGATCAGGTGCCAGCCAACTCATAAGACATGTAGAACAGAGAATGATGTTGCCTGATAGGAGTCACGCTACATTTACAGTATATCATCTTGCCATATGGCGACTGCTTTGCATTCACTTGGCATCGACTTATACACAGTCAGAACAATTATGAGTGCAATGTACTAAGACTCCAAGAAAAAGACAGCATATTAAAATAGAAATTTTACACACAAGAGCAGGAAGATGGAGTTCTTTACCATAGGAAAGAGATTTTGGCAAATAAATTTTGGTTAATATGACGATGCTTTCCTTCGTAACAAAAGGAAAACGATTTACAGCAAAGTTGATACCAAAAAGAGAACAGAGGATGTTTAATGGATGCAGCAGAGCAGAGGTGGCTTTATCTTAGTTCTGTCCTCACAACTTGCATGAACGGAGAGATAACGCATTAGTGGAGCTCAACAGAGAAAACAAGTGAACATTCCCGCAAACCTGACAGAAAAACATACAGCTGTCGGAGCACTTGTACAACAGGGCTGTGTCAGGCTTTGTGCTGTATTTAAATGCTATAAATTTCATTTGGATTATGCATTACAGAGAAGCAATACTATAACCATCTTTCTGTTGACATGTAACCTAATAATTTCCTTTTCTGACCATGTAACAATTCCACAAGTGAAGTTGATTTTCAGTCCAATCATGCAAGGTAAACAATGACAAGAAAAACAACCTTTCAGAAAATTCACGTTCTACTAAAGTCAAACCCTGATATGAGATTGTGTGCTTGAATTTTGTCAGCAGCTGCTTTGTGCCCTGTGTGCAGAGAGCTGCAACTCTGAACGCAGCTCGGGATTAGTTTCACAAAGACGAATATCTGAATTTTGTAACCTGAAGCTATGGAGTTCTGCAATTCCTTAAACAGAGAACAGGTTTTTTTTTTTTTTTTCCACAACGCAGTCCTGAGCACAGCCCTGCACTGTCCGAACACAGATTTAAAATAGAAGTAACACCATTCTCCAAACCATGATCATTGTTTTTGTAATACAAACACCTTCCTTATAACAGACATATTTGTGCCCAACTGTCTGCAAACATTGAGTTACATTTTTATTTTACTTCCTTCCCCCGCATTAATATAGTTATGCTTTGGTTAGTCCTTGCGCATATATAGATGGGTTGTGGGCCCACAGGAGTGTGCATCATCCTGGTCATTACCTGACCCTCTTCTAGACATTCTGCATTTCCTTCCCAATCTTGTAGCTTAAGATCTTATTCCAGTCGATCTTGGTGCGTGTGACAGGCAGCTGGCGACGCAGGGCCTTGAATGTCGTGTCAGACATGGTGTGGTAGTTTTCAATGATTGCAGTCTTAGGGCAACAAAACAAAGTACCAATATTAAAATGTTTTTTTTTATGAACAATCGCAAAGTGTGTGGGGTCAAGTATATAAAAACATCTGATATGTACCTGGTATTCGTTTTCTGCAGACCTAATTAGGTCAATAAATTCCTTCGCAGTTTGGCTTTCACTCTGCAAGATGAAACATAAAATCATCCTATGTTTTCTAATTCTGCAGCTGAGCAAGTCGTCTTAAACTGTTTGCAAATTATAGCGGAGATCATACAGAACTGTCACTTACAGTCACGGGTACTGAGTTTTCAACCTCCTTATGGCTGACCAGCTGGACGTTCCCATCTTCATAATAATGCACCTGAACAAAGACATAATGCTTTATTAGGATGTTTAAATACTAGTCCATAACCTCCACAAAACTCCTTTACCACAAAACTGCTTTACACAACTTTTATTAAACTTTTCTGTCAAAACACCGGGACTGGAGTACTTTCCAGATCATAAGGAATAGGGAGAGTAACTCTATTCCACACAGGTTTACACAGTTGGTAGCTACTCTATCACTGAACTGCTTCACTCTCAGGTTTTTCAAGGAGAACTACAGGAAAAACCTGCCTTCAAAAAGAAACCCATGGATTTACAACGGTTGCATCTTAGAATTAACAAGACTAAACAGGTGTTAGCTCTGCACAATCAGTAGCTATGTGCTGCAGTACTTATTCCCTCGTGCCATGCTGACCCCAGGATCCACAGTCTTTCAAGTTTAATCAAAAGCCTGCAGGACAGTGAGCCCTGCGGAACCGGGCTGGAGACCAGTGGATCTTAGTTCCATCTGAGGGGTGAATTATCCCATCTCTGGCACATTATATGGAATTATAAAAGATTTTTAGTTGGGGGCATCCAATGTAGATTTTCAGAGAGTTTTGCTACGCAATTTCATAAGAGTCTTTCGCTAAACAATCCACACAAAAAAAAGTGGACAGGAGATTTAATTTATTGTTTCCATGAGCGGAGTGAAATTTAGTTCAATATCCTTAAAAATATTGGCAACGTCCTGCGTGAAGCAAAAAAGCAAACGGCTATGTTTATTACAACATTAAATGGAAAAGACAAAAATGTTGCAAGTCTACTTTGAATGATTTATGTAGTCCTGATGTGAAATTAGATTCCCTCACTGACCTGAATTTTCAAAACTCCAACCACATGAGCTGTGGACTGACCCAGAGTCATCTTCCACTCTGACCTGCAGCGACCATTCCTTTGTAGGAAAAAGCAGAGCAGGCATTACTTTGCAGGCAACACAAAGCTACATGGTAAAGTTACTTTATTAAAACATTTGGATGCGACATTAAATATTTATTTTAAGAAAGAAAACTGTACCAGAAGTTTTTGGGTTGAAACTGATGTCCCTCGATGCAGGCTATAATCGTCTGCTGACCATCAACTGTTTTCTCATAAACCTGCAACATACAGATATTATAAGTAAACGATGCTCAATTTTATGCAGCCCAAGGCTCTGGTGCAACGTACCGTGGAGAATCCTGAAAGGTAGTGCTCTTTGACGTAGACACTAAGAGCAGTATCACAAGCATCCCTCCAGCTTCTCAGAGCCCCCTCTCCGTCGTACGGCTGAACGTCGCTGACCTCTTTCCTCAAGTGATCGAAGCGAAACGATAAACGGTTACGAGGATCCAAGAATCGTCCCTGACCCAAGTCACCATGCTCTGTGATCAGGACCTAAGAAAAAAAATCGACAAGAATACTGAAGAATTGTCCCGTATAAACCTTTTCTATCATTTAGTTTTCTGAACAAAGCGTACCGGTTCTTCATATCCCTCGATTTTGGCAGGAGTAAACTGATCCATGTTGTACTGGGCAAATGACCTGGAAAAAAAAAGTGTTTGAACAAAAACAAAGCCGATATTAAAAAAAGTCAAAAAGTAATTAAAGAATAGGCTTTGCACAGACTGGAAGACAACACATTTGAAGATGTTCACACTTTCAAATTGACTAAATGATTGAATGATTATTTGCATTTCTGATGAAGGTCAGATGTTACTTACTGTGACGCCCCCTCTCTGAGGAGGTTGTCATTATTGAGAAGAAGCCGAACATCTAGAGAGACAAAGAGAAACCATTAAGTGCTTTCTAGAGGGCAAACAATTTAAAAAATGTACAATAAAAACTCATTACTAAGTTCTGTAATGATTACCACATCATCATTTTACTGTAAAAGCTTTTAGCAAGAGAAGTCCTTCAAACTGAACCTGCAGATCGGCATTCACACCGAGGCATTTTCTGACTCATCAGTACTGGTTACTAAAGTGCTGTTAAAGACAAATGCACTTGTGTACGGAAAGCCTTTTTGTTCAAAATTAAACACTATTACTTATGAATTATTTACAAATATTCTATAAAATAGGACCTTTATTTCTTGATGAAGTGTTTATTAATTTAGTAATTATTCGTAAATAACATCATCCATTTAGTCATCTGTGAATAAAACGGCTCTCCATAGCTGTATGGTGCAATTTGAGGCACATTACTGATAAATAGTCAATTTTCCTGGAGTCAGATCATTGCCAATAAAGATTTTTTTTTTACTTAAAACATTCAGGATTTGCCAACTTCTTACCATTGAAGACCTCATTGAACTCTCCAGGTGGAGCATGAGTCACAAAGTTGGCCGCTATGCGGACCTGAAATAAAATGAATGAATTCATACAATTATTATATATTTGACAATAAATAACCATGGTTAAAATATAATAAACACACTAGTCTAGACAAGCTCATAAATTTCATGACATACTGTGAAAAAAACTGCACAAAATGTATCCTGGAATAATATAATAATAAACTACTGCAGTATTCAAACTCCAAACACATTATTATTGAGATTTTTTTTCTACTGTGCTGAATAAACTCTTTCCACTGTTGAAATCATGAAAGCACTGATAAAAGTGTTTCATTACAATATTCAATTTGAAGAATAGCACAAGCTAAATCTATTATTATTTAAAAGTCAACAGTTTAACAGTGATAACACGTTATACAGTAATGAACATAACTAAAATGATTAAAAGGTCAACAATGTAATAAACATATTGAATCAAAAAGGGTATTCAATTGCAGTAACTAACTGAAGAGCAGAAAAATATGTGCGTTTGTGGATAATGTCTCTTCATTTCTGATGTCTATTAGACAAACGACTTATGATAATTAAAAAAAAAAAAAAAGAATTCCAGAGTAAACATTTGTTTGAGTTGTTTGTACCTTTGTAAAAACAGTAGCGTCACCTTTACCGGTGTTTAACAGCGCAAAGTCAACAGACCTGTGGAGTAGTTTGCTCCTATTATCAGAGGAATGTCGCCTAGCTCGCTTCTTTGCAGTGTTAAAATCCCGTGTATCTGTATTCTGACCATATATGTCGATTTACCTTACGTGGCAGAATGGCAGTTCAGACTTGTATTACCTCTTCTATTAACTTTGTCAGTCCCTGAGATCATGTAAAGTGAAGTGCCACTGTTGCAGCTCACCCTAAGCTGGAAGTATCTATAGTGATGTCAAGCCGAGTGAAGATTTGAGCTGCAACTGAATCTGTTTGACCCAGAAATCCACAGCAAAAGTAACGTTAGCTGCTAATGTTAGCTGACTGTTTTTTTTTGTTTTTTTTATGAGGAGGAACTTACTTAAGCCATTTTGAAAAAAAATAATAATATTGTGGAAACCACAATGCAGTTTGAGGAAGTACGAGTTACTGCTTCAGTAAAAGACATGTCATTTTACTAGAACAGGGCGTCGGGCAGGTTAACCACCCTCAATAACACTTGATACCGCGGCTAGCCAAGCTTCTCTAGCATTGGCTTGTTAGCTAATGATAGCTTTAACACAAGTTTACAATTTCAATAAGTTTTCGGACTCTGACATTAAATTTCCAGCCCGCGATATTTAATGCATAAAAACCTAATAACTTATTCGACAATACAAGTAAGATAAATAAACAGAAAGCAAAGAATTAGCGTTCAAACCTTCTCTTCATCTGACAGCGGCTCCTCAAAGTCAGCCATCTTGGCTTCCTGTAATATAACCCCACCTACCCCAGCTGACTGAAAGGGTCACTGCAGCGGCAACTATCGATTTCCAATATTTAAATTTCGTTTAAAACAAATGCGAATGCATCTTTGTCTATAACTTTATAAGCAGGGTGGAGCAACTTTTTAAACGGTAAATGAAAACTAGATAGACATCAAGAGCCAACTGTGTTCATTCTTGTCTTCTTTCCTGTTCGACAAAATAAGAGAAATTCGATATGCCATGTTACACCTTCTTAGTTTGCCTTTTAGATAAATTTTTATACTACAATCTAAAATCGTAATATATTGTAAACATAAATAATAAAAAGAAATTTATGGGGACAAATGGAACCTCATAGTTTTAGGCAAGGCTTCTGCTACATTTGCGCTGGAGAATAAAGGATGCGTGAGTGCGTCCGCCGTATTGTGAGTGGTAAATGCGTCTTAGAACTTAATGTTTGCTTGAAAAAAGAGGATTTCCGAACAAATGAGTAGGCTGTTGTTTACTAGTTTTGTCATTAGTATACATGTCCATTAATCATTTTACACAGATTATTTTTCATAGAAGCATTAGGGATTATTTAGATAAAAATTAACAATGAAGTGTGCTTGAATTATCAAACCGATCTGTGATAATATGCTTACTTGATTTAATTTTACATAGAAAAATGAACTCAGTTCCCCTGTTTTGTTTAGTTAAAAAGTTACAACAGAGGAGACACTTTAATTTTGTTATTAAAATTAATTGTATAAGAATAGCGATAATAATAACAACATGGTATTCTTGTATTCATTTTATAATCAGAAGTGGTTGACCATATTTGTTAAGTTAGGGTAGACAACGAAAACTGACACTATTGTAGTTTAAATCACCACAGTTAATGCTATTTGTCAATATATTGGAAATATGTATTGAATACACACACATTTATGCTTCAGTAACAGAACACACAACGAATGATCAAATTTATATCGGCATAAATATCCTGCACTGCTTGCAGGCCTAAAATAACGAAATATGCCACTCACAATATGGAGGAGGCGTTGACGTATGATATTCACCCTTATTCAGCGTCTATCCTTTTACGTCAAAGTAAAGCGCTCGCTCCATTGTGGAGTAAATTGGACTGTATTTAGCGACGCGTACGGTTCCTACCATGGAGTCACAGGTATGGTTGTTCGAAATTGTCCAGCAATCCTAAACGTTTATTAAACGTGCATGGCAGATGTTGCACAGGTTTAACCTTAGAGCTATCTAGAGTAAATTGAGTTTCGATATTATCGGATGTAGTCAGCTTAAGTCAAGCTAGCGAACAGATGTAGGGTCCGTAGTTTTCTTTCACTTCCAGCAAGAAGTTCCTGGTCATATGGCTCGAACTCCTAAATCTCTCTAGAATAATCCACACTGCCTTGAGTACTTATCTTAATGCAAGGCTGTTACTTGAGGCAACAAATCGGGGAAATGCTACATATGCTGACTTTTGTTTTTATTGCTAAATAGTGTTAAACTTCACCAACTTTTCATGGATGGCTAGCCACCTAGCTTGGACATGAATAGGACATTGTTCGCAGTCAAACATTTGTTTTCACTAAGGCGCAGTTGTTCTTCTCTGCGCTGCCAGGTGACAACCAACCCGGAGGAAATTGCCAAACTCTACAGAGAGCTCAGCCTCTTTCCCTCTTTAAGCAGAGCAGACGTGGGACCTGTTATCACCTCTCAGTATGGAGGCAAATACAGCAACATATACACAGGTACAACTAGCATATGTCACATCAAAAAATATTTCCGTTTCTATTTGATTCGTATAATTTCTGAATTCATGTCTGCAGAGTGGAGCCAGCGTGATCTGGAGAGAAATGAGAACGTCAAATTCTGCAGACAATACATTGTCTTCCATGATGACAAGTCAGTGGTCTACTCTGGCACTTCTGGAAACTGCACTGAAGTCAAAGGAGAGTATGTAAAGTGTTATTTTATCTTGAGTAGACATACTATCTAATTTGAGTCGAAACCCAGGAAAACGCAACTGTATCTCCTCATTTGTTTCTCACCTCAGACTTCTTAGTAAGGACTCTCCCTCCGGTGAAATGAAGGCAGTTGTCAGAGAATGCACAGTCAAAGGAGAGGAGAAGCAGTTTCTGGAGGTGTGTGGCTCTCTGGTCCTGCTCAGATGTGGATGACTTAGATAAAAGCAGTCCTCAGTAATCACAGCCATTCACGTTTGGCATTAAAACCCATCCCTAATGATTGGATCTCAGTTAATGTGAAAACAAACACATTGCCATATCACTTAGAGGGCTTTCGGTTGAGCACACATTTTTTTGTGCACATTGCACTGTCCAAACGTAAGAAAACATGTAACGCTCAGCGTTACATGTAGATGGGTTGCTTTCTGACTGAATCAGGACGGGGCATTTTATACCACAGTTACAGCAGCAGGTACAATAAACTCCCAAACAAACTAAAACAAAAACACTGCAAAGAAAAGTCACTCATCCATACTGTGTCCAATAATCCTTTCTTTGCAAAATGTCCTCAGTTGCTATTTATTTTATTTAAATAACCCAGGAGCAGTGTCTGATTCATTTTGTTTGCTTTATAAACTGGGAGATTTCCAATGCAGTTCTTGCTACGGCATTCGGGGAGTCATGTCAGGTCACTGGGTCAACACGTCTTGTAGTAAACTGTGTTTAGACTGTGAAACGTATTCAAGTAAATGATTCTCAAGTTTTCGTTTGAAGGTGGTCTGCTAACTGCTTTCATCAGATTGTGAAATTGGGTTTAAAGTTTGGTGTGGGTTGCATATTAAGGGAACTACACTTATTGCCCTTGTTCCATTTCACTTTATTTCTAAAGTATGCAGTGTATCTCTGTCTGAATAATATTTGCTCTGTCTTTTTTAATACAAATGTATTAAATGTTTATGTTTCATTTTAGATCTGGAGTAAAAACATCAAGGTGAAGAGCATCAACCTAACAGCTTTAAAGAAACATGGCAAAGTCTATGAGGATGGTAAATCATGTTCAGGAAAAAAAACAACTGCTTTTTACCTGCAGTTTGTTTGGCAGTTTGCTGTAACATCTGGATTTTTTATTTTATTTTATTTTATTTTTTTTCGCACATTCCCAGAGCAGTTTGGCAGCTTGGTTTGGTCGCACTCTGAAACACACCTCTTGTATGTTGCTGAAAAAAAGAGGCCTGAGACTAAATCCTTCTTCCAGGTAAGATGTAGATAGAAAAAAAATAGTTTTTATGATAAATTTAAGCAGATTTTTTATTATTTTTTACTGCAAATGACTACTACCAGGCTAAACATTGCTTTACACAGTCAGGAACATCAAACAGCGGCTTCTTTGGTCTTTAAAGTTTTATTTTATTTCCAAGAAAGGTTGAAGTTAATTGAACCTAACAAGTCATGTAAATAATTCACACTTTAAGGGCACACACCAACAAGATTACCACTGGCAGAGGTTAGCAACACCATTACCCAATCAGAAAATCGCGGCAAACTGGTTCAGTCTTTCCGTGCTTTCATAATGACTGAACCTGAGTTATTTTCCATTGTTTTTCAAAACCAACATTCCTTGTCTGCATCTATTGTTCTGTGACCGAGGCAGCAGTGATGCGTGTTTTCTGTCCTTTATGAGATACTCGTGATGAGAGATTTCAGACTGAGGGGCTAACAACCTGCCGCTCTGCTTCTCGTTTCATCTTTACAGACAGAGTTGCCAGAGTTGTCTTCCATTGAAGATGAGGAGGAGACCATGAGGGTGGAGAAAAAAGACACGGTTAAAGTGAATTCTCCAGATTGTAGTCAAAAGTTGAATTAATCTCGTTGCATTTCACAGCACCAAATGCTACATTGTAGTCGTTGTGCGAATTTCATCCTGCAGGGGGAGCAGTTTGTCTACTATGAAGACTGGGGAGAGGCCTTAGTTGGCAAGAGCTGTCCAGTTCTGTGTGTTTGGGACATAGAGGGGGACAATGTGTCTGTGTTGGAAGGAGTACCCGACAGCATCTCACCTGGACAGGTTGGCACTGCACTGCAGTGAATCCATCTTTGTATGAATGTTTATGTGCCTTTAATGTGGTAATAACATTTTTTTTTTCTGGATTTTAATCAACTGCTTTCATCTCTCCAGGCATTTTGGGCCCCAGGTGACACAGGTGTGGTGTTTATAGGTTGGTGGCACGAGCCTTTCAGACTAGGCCTGAAGTACTGCCCCAATCGGAGGTGCTTATCGAATATAGTAGCAGCACACAACAGCTGGACCGTGGCAAATTAAAATTGAGTTTAAATGCAATTGAGTTCAAACGAATGCACCCGTTTTAGTATTTCTGTTGTCGCTTTCAGGTCTTCTTTGTTTTATGTGGATTTGACGGGTGGGAAATGTGGTAAGCATGAATTGTTTGTAACATTTGTTAACAATTCAACACTGTTAGCATAAGGTGTGATGGTGCTGTAAAGCCTCACGTCCTGATTTGTGTTTCACACAAATTGTTGACTACAGTAACATCTTTTAAGTGCATCTAAGTGTTAGCAGCACACATATGCAGTAGTGGAAGGAATTTCTGAAAAGTCGCTAAAACAAATGCATGTTTTTAAATCATACATTTTTATGTACACTGCTCAAAAAAATAAAGGGAACACTCAAATAACACATCCTAGATCTGAATGAATGAAATATTCTCATTGAATACTTTGTTCTGTACAAAGTTGAATGTGCTGACAACAAAATCACACAAAAATCATCAATGGAAATCAAATTTATTAACCGATGGAGGACTGGATTTGGAGCCACACACAAAATTAAAGTGAAAGGTTCCGTTTATTTTTTTGAGCAGTATATTTATTTCACCTTCTCATTAAATGCAAAGAAACTAGATGAGTGAACCTAGAAACATGTACTTGTTTTGAGTTTTTTAACTCAAGAATAAGATTACGTCGCAGGATGTATGTTTTGGTGCATAAATGCAGAATACTCCTTTAACTCCTTAATTTTCTGTTGTAATCACAGCTACTATGGCTAACGAAAAACATGCAGCACATTTGAATTCTTTTACATCTCGTATTTCTTAAACAATATAAATCAGCAGGTCGTGCCTCAGATAAAACTTATCG